CTCATCAAATGCTTCACAACTCAGGAAGTAGGACGTGTTCCAAGTACTTCAAAGGTCAAACATCTTTTTCTAGTTCTGGCATCAATGGATTCATACTTATTAACAAGAAGAAAAGAAATCCATGATGGGGAAATATGAGTAAAATGATGGGAAAACAAAACTAACCTTGTGTTCATCCTGAATACAGTACTGCAAAACTCCAGTTTAAACTTTCGCAAAAACTTCTCACATTATAATAACTATTTGGGGGGAAAAAAACTTCTCACCTGGCCTTGTTTGGACTAGGGGTGCAAACGAATCGAACCGCTCGCGAGCCAAACTGATTTGATGAAGTTGGAGCTTCATGTGGACTGGATGCATTGTTTGGACTAGGGGTGCAAACGAATCGAGCGGCTCAATTCAACCTTGAGTCGAACTCGATCAATATCGAGCTCGAGTTGGTCGAGTCAAAGTCGAACTCGAGTTCAAAATATTAAACTCGAGTGTATATATATATATATATATATATATTTATTTATTTATTTTTATTTTAATAGTAAAAATACATAAATATCCTTAATATTTTATTATTTATTAAGAAAAAATATTATTTTGTTTATTTTTTTAAAAAATAAAATAAAATATTTATTTTTATTTTTTTCGATCTCGAACTCGAGCTCGAGCTTCAAAATTGCCAGCTCGTCGAGCTCGAGCTCGAGTTCGAGTTCGAGCTCGAGCTCGAGTTCAATGAAATTAAGTCAAGACTCGGCTCGATAAGGCCAAAGTTCGACTCGGCTCGACTCGTTTGCAGCCCTAGTTTGGACAGCTATTTTTCAAAGAAAAATTGTTATGTTTTTTGTAAACACATTTCCCAATCACCTTTTTACCTCACATATATTAAATTGCTACAGTAATTTTGCTACAAAAAATCTAGAAAAATGCAATCCAAACACAAATTAAAACCAATGGAAGTTATTAGAAGTTTCTTTTTTATTGAGAAAAAAAGGAAAGAAAAGGAAAGAAGAGGTTATGAATTTTTTGGCAAACAATAAAAAAAAGATTTTTTTTTAAAAGTAAAAAAAGAAAGAAGTTATATCTTTTTTCAACTTTTGCACACATATCATGAATCCAACGGTGATAATGTATACACTGTCAGTTATCAATATATAAGATTCACTCTAAAATACCATATACGCCAAGAGTTCTTAAGCTAACGTCACCGAATAAGAGATTGAGGACAAGCTCGTGTGAGCATCAACCATTAGAAACAAATGAAATTATGCGATTTTCTACATTTCTAATGCAAGAACGTGTTTGCAGTGCCGATCGACGACATTAAAATATAATAGGAAAGATAGAATTAATCTTTTTCTACACACTGAACGAGTATACACTGTAAGCGTTAGACAAATAATAACTATGCAAAATTTGAAATTGAAATTCAACTTTTATACACATGTTATAAATTCAATGATAAGTGTATATAAGATTTATTTTAAAAAATATGCAATTAATAAGAGTATTTATATACAAACCCTTTTTGCCCCCACTTACGGGTACTCTTGTAAGTTGTAAAAAGATTTTTGGTTGGGAAAGAGGAATTGTTCCTCTACTTTCACTCATTTTGGAAAATCAGGAGACTTGTTCTGTTTGTGATGGCGGGAGAAAAAGGTAGTAAGAACCATGGAGCGCTAGCGTGATCACGGTCTATAACTGACGGTTGGCAATAATAATGACTCTATAGTGGAGCGCTCTACCATTTGAGCTTCATCCCCTCGCGTGTCCCTTGTGGGAACTGAACATTAGACACACTAGAATCATCGCAGACGATGATGCTCCCCGCGCTCATTGCTGAACGAGAATAGCCGACGCCAGTTGCAATTTAAATTGCTAGAAGATTCGCGTAGCTTCAAAAGTTTATAATACCTGTGTTTGTACTGTTGTTGTTCCTTGGTATCATGTTGATGAATTGAATCAGTAGTATTATTTATTCATCATCTTTGTGTGAATATGGGATACATGAGCAAACAAATCATTGGAATTGATAAACCCATATCTAAACCCCAAATATATAGTACTATTAACATAAAAGGGTATGTTAAATTGCCACCAAAAAAAAAAAAAGAGTATTAAATTGGTGGAATTGGAAATAAAAGATAAAGAGGGGATTTAATTTATTTGATAGAAGAAAAATGAATAATAATTGATAGATTTTTTTTTTTTTTGGGTGAAGAGGGACTAAATTTTAATTTCCCCGAGTTTTATGTGAAAATTTAGGGTTTATTCAATTTCCTTCCCTTTTCAAATTATAATATGCTACTCTTTGTTTTTCTTTTCTTTGTCTTGTCTTTCTGTTTCTAGTTCTACCCAAAAATTCTAGATGAACAAAATATAGTAAAAAAATCGAAGAAGGAAAGATAGAGAAGGAAAAAGGAAGAAACAATATTCAGGCATAGCGGTGGCCATTGGCTTGAACAATCATTTCTTAGCCATACGTGCTTGGATCACTAAGTACCGAAGATGTGACTTGAACAATTGGGCTAAAGATACGTTATGTAAAAACTTTTTGAGAGAAAAGGACCACAGTTCATTATTTAATTCAGGCCTACTTGCACAAAGAATATTTATGATTTCAGGGGTTAATCCGGGTCAGATCTGGGCTGCAACTAGCAACCTGAAGTTGCTTATCTGTACAACTATTTATCTTTCCGGTTGTAGATCGCTCATGGCCCAGATATGTTTCGGTCATTCTGCTTTTGCCCCTGCCCAATATTATTCTATACATGTCCCACAACAACTTGATGTCTGGATAGGCGCTGTCCATTAGTCCGAGGCGGGTACTTTTTTTTTTTTTTTTAATTAATTGACACTTGTCTATCCTAAATCTATTCCTATTGTTACTCTAACTTATATTATGAGAATGATTCAATTGGACCATGAAAAAATCAATGAACAAGACGAGTGTTCTACGCACCCATATAGATTTAAGTCAATTAAAATGACATTCACTTTAAAATGGAGCCACATATAATGACAAATATTGGAAGATAAGATTTGAAATCTTAACTTTACACCCCACTCAGCCTTAAACGCTATGGTAGCAGTCCAAATTGCCATTGGTTCCGAGGCGGTATTTACTTCCTAAATATGATAAAGGAAAATTATCGTATCTTAAATTCCTAATATATAAATTCCAAGGGTCATTTTTAGGAAATTACAGGAGCCAACCCTCGATTTTTAAGAATAGATTTGTGAACACTTTTTTGGTAGATAAGATTTTAATAATACACAACAAAATACGGGGCATACACTTAGTAGATAAGATTTTATAAATTTCTAATTCCAATAAATTTCATAAGCAAAAGGAATAGAAAGAAGCTCGCAGCGGCTGCAAATTAAATCAGAACACAACAGCAAATCTTTGTTAGCCTATGTCATTACAAGCCACAGGAGTGTTTCTTGTTTTATGCAGAATCTCTCCCAGCATTTTTCTACACACACACTTAGTAGTGTTAGACGAAGACACACACTTAGTCTTATAATTCTCAAGAATTAATCGCTCTCAATTTGCATTTCTTAATTAAGCTAAATTGAGAAGATCAGTTGTATGGACTATAAACTAAGGTAAACAGCACCGGAGCTCTTTATTACTTTTCACTGTACAATTTTAAAAATGACTTGTTATTAGTTTGCATAGTGTGGCAGAAAACTAAGAAACTCTTGATTTTCAAGGAGATAATAAATGTAGATCGAAGACTATTAAGACTGAAGACAATGTCGTAGAATTATTACTTTCCATACATTTCCAAACTCTCAATTTCCTCCCTATGCTAGTTTTTGCATCAATTCCATAAAACTCTATTGGCTAGGCAGAGCATTTTTTTACACAGAATACATACTCTGCATCATATCATCTTCTGCTGATGCCTGATAGTGCTATGTTGGGGGGGGGGGGGGATGGACCACTGCAGTCTGCATTTAATAGGAGGCAAGATACCTGCAAAAACCAAAAACACTATCCAAGTTCAACATATAGATATCAACCTGTAAAGCACGAGGTTCACACGGCCTACATTGAGGATCAACATGTAGATATCAACCTGGAAATAATGAGCATTGTTGGCCTGCATTGAGGATCAACATGTAGACATTCTCTTGCTAGTTTGAGAATGGATATCAGACTCTTTTCAATTTGTTGATTGGGATACAGAAGTCTTTGGTCTAACAAGTCTTTTAGCTCTATCTCTTCATGCTTTGAAGACAATAGATTAGCAATCAAGTCACCAGGATGCTTTCCTTTGATTACTTCCATTGTCAGGACCCCAAAGCTATAAACATCACACTTCTCGTTAACTTTCATTGTGTACGCAAATTCTGCAAGAGAAAGTTGGAAAATGATTTTCCATGTTACGTGATCATACTTGAATTTACTACTTAACAAACTAATGACAGGAAAAGAAAAAAAAAAACTTTAGTACCTGGTGCAACATATCCATATGTGCCTGCAAGAGAACTCCAATTAGATGAGTCTCTTCTGAGGAACTTGGAAGTGCCAAAATCTGAAATATGAGCCTCGCATTCTGGATCAAGCAAAATGTTGTTGCTTGATATGTCTCGGTGTACAATTGGTGGTGAACAATCATGATGCATGTAAGACAAAGCATGAGTGACGCCTTTGATGATATTCAACCTCTTTTGCCAGTCTAGTTCCTTAGCTGCTTCTTCTATGCTCAAGATTTTGGCCAAGCTTCCCCTTTCGAGGTACTCATAAACCAATATTGAATGCTGAGCATTTGAGCAGAAGCCAAAGAGTTTCACAATGTTCCGATGCTTGATTTCTGTCAAGGCCCTGATCTCATTCAAGAAACTTCTATCCTTTGCCACATTAGGTACGTTGTGAAGTCTCTTTACAGCTACTACCTCGCCTGATGGAAGCTGTGCTTTGTAAACACTTCCACAACCTCCTTTCCCAATGCAAAATGTGCCACTGAACTCTTCTGTAGACCTCAAGATTTCTTTATACAATGCTTTGCCATCATAAGCACATATGGCAAATAAACCGCCCTTATTCACCTCCGTATCTTCCTCTATTGAATTTTGTTTTCTCTGATCACGCAATTTGAGAGCACCGAACAATGCACCAAGAAGTGTGAATGATCCCAGAAGAGGCAATACAATTATGAGAACAAGTTCCTTCCTTTTATCCTTGACATGCTTTTTAATCAACCGGGAACTTTCACAGGCTCGCAACCCTGTAATATTGCCACACAAACCTTTATTTCCCTTTACTTCTTCTAAGGTTAGATTCACAAAGGCTCTACCGCTTGGAATTGGACCCTCCAAATTATTAAAAGAAAGATTAATGTGCAATAAACCAGGCAATTTGGCCAAAGCTTTTGGGATCAATCCACAGAGGTTATTCTGGGAGAGATCCAATGTCCCCAAACTCTTCAAACTTTGAAACTCAGATGGTATCTCTCCTGTGAAGAAATTTCGACTCAAATCCAGTTCAGAAAGTTGGGTTAACTCCCCAATCTGGAATGGAATCCTTTGCCTAAAAATGTTGTTTACCACCCAAATTCTCAGGTAGAGTTCCACTCAAGGAGTTTGTGGACAGGTCTAGATATTCCATTAACACTCCCAATTCCTGAGGTATACTACCCGTAAGTTGGTTGTGATGTAAATCTAGTCTAAGCATAGAAGCTAACTCCCCAACTGCCCTCGGTATCTCCCCTGATAACGAATTCAAAGAAAGATTAAGAGCATGTAGTTGAGTTAAATTTCCAATTTCTGGAGGTATACCACCTGTGATGTTGTTCTCTGCAACCATTAGGGTTTTCAAAAGTTTGCATTTACCCCAGTTGCTAGAGAGTTCTCCGTAGAATTCGTTGTTGCTGAGATCTATGAAATCCAGGAATGGATAGATTCCAAACATCTCTGACAAGTTTCCATGGAATCGGTTATCCTCAAAACGGGCCCTAAGCAAGCTTGAGCAGTTCTGCAAGCTTTTAGGGATTGGGCCTGTAAGCATGTTCCTGGATACTATAATCTTTTGGAGCATTCCACTTTGACATGGTAGTTTTGGCAATGGACCAAAGAACTGATTATGATCCAATCCCAAAAGGACCAACTTATTCAGGTTTCCAAGCTCTTGTGGAATGGTACCGGAAAATTGGTTTTCTCGAAGAGACAGGGTTCTTAAATTGCTCAAGTTTCCAATTGAAGCAGGAATTGAACCAGAAAATTGATTCTCATAGAGAGCCAAAAGTTCCAAGTTACTTAAGTTTCCAATTGAAACAGGAATTGAACTTGAAAGTTGATTCATAGAGAGATCCAATTCAATCAAATTGGTCAAATTGCCTAGTGACTTTGGGATTGCACCAGTGAGATTAGTTTGATACAGGTAAAGAATCTGAAGTGAGATCAAATTCCCAATCACAGGAGGAATGGGACCAGAAAATTGATTGATAAAGAGATACAGTTCTTTCAAGTTACTCAAGTTACCAATTGAAGTAGGAATGGAACCATTAAGTTGATTGTGAGAGAGCTCCAGTTTAATCAAATTGGTCAAATTGCCTAGTGACTTTGGGATTGCACTAGTGAGATTATTTTGATACAGGTAAAGAAGCTGAAGTGAGATCAAATTCCCTATCACTGGAGGAATGGGACCAGATAGGTGATTTTGGTAAAGGATTAGATACACTAGCTTATTGAGGTTGCCAAAAGTAGCAGGAATCGAACCAGAAAATTGATTGTTTTGGAGACCCAGTGCTTCCAAGTTACTCAAGTTACCAATTGAAGCAGGAATGGAACCGTTGAGTTGGTTCTCGGATAAATCCATAACCATAAGAAATTTCAAATCACCCACTTCTTTGGAAATTGGACCTGAGAGTTGATTTTCATAGAGATCCAGTATAATCAAATTGGTTAAATTGCCTAGTGATTTTGGGATTGCACCTGTAAGATTATTTTGACACAAGTAAAGAAACTTAATTGAGATCAGATTCCCCATTGCCACGGGAATGGGACCAGATAGGTGATTACTTGCAAAACCTAAATGAGTCAAGTTTCTCAAGTTGCAAATTTCAGGCGGGATTTTGCCTGACAGCTCATTAGCCCCGAAACCAAGATAAATGAGTTTCGACAGGTTACCTATTTGTTTTGGTATACTGCCAAAGATCTGGTTAAAGCTGAGATCAAGATATTCAAGATTTGGGAGGGATGAGAACGGGAAATCATAGAGGCTACCTTTAATACTCCAATCTGAGAGGTTCAACCTGTTGACACTTCCATCAATGCAGGAAATACCAGCCCAAGTGCAAGGAAGTATAGAAGAATTCTTGGCATTGACGGATTGAAGGTTCCATGAGGTTAGGAAGCTATTGTTCTGGTTCAAAAAACTGGCTTTCCATTTCAAAAGAGCAGCAGCCTCTTCAGCGGAAGCTGAAGCTCCACATTTGGGTTGAAAAGATGGGAAAAGTAGGACGACCAAAAGGAATGTGGAGATTATTTTGAAAGAACCCATGATTACTTTCAATTTCAATTCAAGTTGGCTAACCCTGTTACTCTGTACCACAAATGAAGCTAGTATTTATCCTATTTGTACATGGAAGACTTCAGAGGTCTTCTTGCTCTGCCCCACTTTCTTTGTTTTCATTTAATTTTGAGATTGAAACACGTAAGATGTCTATTCCAATGGGCCAAGAAATTTAAAGCAATGAAAGCTTCCATGAGATTGACCATTTTTATCTTCTATCACTAATTAGCTTTTCCATGTCTATTATTTTTATTATTTATTTATTTTTTTTTTGGTAACATGATATTGTCTCTTTGTAAGATATTCCTTAAACAATAAAATAAGGCTTTTCAAATAAATCAGGATTTTTATTACAAAAGTATAAAAACTTTAGGATTGTTTAGGGTGAGGAAAATGTGCAAAAACTTATACTTAGGAATGTATCCATCCATTTGCCAAGAGGTATAGAAGGGTGACCTTTAGTACAATACTACCATGCAAGTCTTTTAATGAATCGATTTAATCACAACTTCGATTATGTAATTCAAATTCATATGGATCAAATGAAATATGATTAGAGCTCTCATGTGTCTTGAACTTATATTGAATGTAGTTAATATAAATTTTGTAACATTTTCTGATTTTCTTTTAAAAAGAGATATTTTCTCATATTTGAAAGAAATTGACCTCTTTGCTTCTCTCATGGCACACCCCTCTTCCAGCCGAGCCCCCTTTCTCCTCGGTTCCTGGAGACAAAATGAAAGACAAACATTAGACTTATAGGAGTAGTCAATTATAAAGCAATTCGAAAGGACAAACATTAGACTTCACCATTCAAAATTAGTTGTATATCTTTTTTGAAGAGAGGTACGGACATTACTATTAACATGGACACATGCAACACTAAATTAGATTGCTCATAACCCTTTTTTTGTCAATCAGCAACATGTGTATCTACTCTATTTCTATTTTAACCTATTTTTTGGGTGATCCAACTGAGTCATGAGAAACTGATAAGGACACTCATATGAATTTGGTAAAGTCACATATTAATGGCAAAATGATGACAGGTAAAATTTTAACTTTTGACCTTTTATCTCACAAAGATTTAAATCTTTTATGGTGGTCAACATCTCAAAGGGCATTGGTTAGATTGCTCATAACCAAACCCCACAAAGAACCAAATTTACCCATGTGTCGTATAGATTGGAGACAGAAAATTTTCATGTAATAACACTAAAATTAGATTGCTCATAACCGAACCCCACAAAGATCCAAATTTAGCCGTGTGTCATATAGATTGAAGATAAAAAATTTTCATGTGATAACACTCACTTACACCACCTGATTAGGATTTTACACATATATGTTTATCTGCAAGAGTTCTTTTTTATATGCACAACAATCTAGACTAGGTAGACATGATTGTTATGTTAATTGTTAAAGATATTCGCTAACATTTCCCTTTCTCATTTTCTTGTTTCTTTAGGTGCTAACCTTATTTTTAAGTACCTAAAGAAGCAAGCTAAACTTGCAACTTATTGGAAGGCCTGTTGCCCATGAAATGCGAAAGTTTTAAGTTCAAATTTTAATAAGAAAACATATAAAATAGTTTAATGTATAATGGAAGCAATACATTCACAAAGTTAACACAGCTCTGAAATAGGAAATGTTTTACATTGCTTAGTTGTTAAGAAAATGGAGAGAGCAAAAAATATGCATGTATTATATGTCAAAGAATGAAATAAAATTAGTAGAATCATTAAAATCAATCTATCTTCTATTCATCTTTGCAATTGCACCTTCAGGTTTAAAAATTTGGCAATCATAGTTTTGGTTTTATAATTGACTTTCTATAATTATACCTTGAATTAATTCTATTGTTTAAATACACGTGCAACGCACGTGCTTTTTTCAAGTACTATTAAATAAGGTTCAACTAAAAATTATTTTGGGATACGGCTGTCGTGCTTGTTTTTAGTCAAGATGACGGCCTATCCCTGTCTAAGGCATAGAGATGTATTGCCATGACTCTTTCCTATCACGATGCACCAATGTGGGGCATGGGGTGGTGGGTGGGGTGACCAACCTCTAAAATTTTAAAATTCTTATTTTTAATGAATTTAAAAATTCTAAAACTTTTCTTATTTTTAATGAATTTGAAATTGTGCTCAATATTGACTTATAGAATCGAACTTAAATGAACTTTTATTGATTTAAACTCAAGTTGAATTTGAGTAGGTTAAAACTTTTTTATATGTAAATTATACTTTTATTAAGTTCAAGTTGAGTTTGACAATTTAAATTTAATATTCAAACTTATTTTATTAATTTTAATTAATTTGAAACTATGCTTAACATTAGCTTGTTTACTTGTTGAGCCAAATTTAGATAGATTTTTATCTAACTAAACTCAAATCGAGTTCAAGTAGATTAAATATTTTCACACGTAAATTTCACTTGTATGCTAATAAAGCCAAGTTCAAGTTGTATTTGACGTTTACAGAACACAAAATGCTATTTAAGTTTGGTTTGACTACTTGGCAAAATCAAGTTCAAATGAGCTTTTA